CTCTCTCTCTCTCTCTCTCTCTCTCTCTCTCTCTCTCTCTCTCTCTCATCTCTATCTCTCTATCTGTCTCTGTGTGTGCATGCGCATATGTGTGTGTCCATGTATCCCCCATCACCAAAAAAGGTACTGATGTAAAGACATGCATTGAGACATATTAAGCATATCTTGTTAGTATGTATGAGATAAATAATTATAAGAAAACACAAAAATTATCTAAAAGACAGTCATGCTGTGAATTATTCTATTTTGGAGTTAATTTCACTGTATAAGATCACCCACAGACACACTTGCTTTAGAGGTGCTGAGCAAATATCTATAAGTACTAGGAGAATGATACAAATTACTAGCAGACACATTAATTATACTATTATATATATATATTATAGTATGTAATAATATATATCATATATAAAATATAATATATATATATTATAGTTATACTAATGGTATAACTATTGAATTTCCCACAATCATTCAATTGTTCTGCTTATTAGAAACTTCATATTGGTTTTACAGTTATGTTTTATTCATAAAAAAGCCAATTGAAAATTACAGTCAGTTCTGAGAATACCCAGTGAAACCAGGTAAATCTTGAGATGACAAAAACCATTTTCTGATAATTTCTGGTGTTAGTCATAGTGGGTGCTGTAGAAATGTCTGCACCTTGACACAGACCTTCACCCAAGAACAAATACACCAGAGAAAACAAAGAGATGATGACGATAATTCTGATGAGAGACTTAAATTATATTTTTTCAAAAGTAATTTTAATTCTTTGAGCTATCAATGAGTGACTAAGTTAGGTCTTTTAAGAATATATGGAGCAAAATTGATTTAGGTACAAATTCTCCCTACATTATTTAAATAAGTGTCATAGATTTGGTCTTAGGAATCCTTTAAATAGATGGAGAATTACAGCTTTAAGTGGTTTCCATCTAAAGGTTATAATTACTTCTATTCTTCCAGCTGTCTTAAATTACTTTAGATTTTGTCAAACGACCCTTTAGTTTTCTTCGCTTACCTTTGATATTTCCAACAAGCCTTCCTCAGAAATCACAACTATATGTATGGACAGTCTACACATTAAAACATTTTAGGTATCACTAATTTACATTCATAGAGGCTCAGAAGTCATCTCTTGATATAGAATAACTTCTTATAACTCTGTAATGTCACAGTATGGAATGACTTTCAAATGACTTTAAAACTAATTCTGAAATTTAACTTCTTGCAACCATCCATTTACTTCCTATTTTATAATGTCAGTTTTCAGAAGAAGATGTAGAAATTTGGATATTTATAGACCTCCCTGAAGAGGGAAAAGAACTTGTAAATATCTACCAAAACTCCAATTGATATAAAAACAATTTTTTTGTTGTTATTGTTGGGATTCCTTCAGTTTTTTTTCAGTACTGTGTTCAGTCAGCCTGAATGTTTGTGTCTCCGTTGCCCCATTATCATACCCTGGCTTTGCCCCTGTATGTTCTAAAACATTTTCAGGCAAACGTCTCTAACCATGCCTGTCTATTAAATATTCTACAAGTCAAGTCTTAGTGGCTGACCTTGTACTTAAAGAACACAGGATTATGAAAGCACTCAGCTTAAAGTGGTTCTCATTGCCAGTATTTTCTTAGACATTGAATGGTGCAGAGGTTAATTTGTTACATAGCGGTGTGGAATTCTGATTTCCCCACAGTTTTCAAAAGAAGTAGGGATTTTCAGGTCACCAACCTTCCGACCGGTGTGGCTCTCAAGTGGCTTAGTGCCACAGAGAGGATGAGGAGGACAGCTGGCAGCCTGGAGATACACATCATTTCTCAGGATCCCTGAAAAGAGAAAACACTGAAATCAAGCTACCTCCTTCAGTTCTGATTGATGCAAGTGTAGATTGAAACCATCGAAGAAAATTTAAAATGCATTTTACAAAGATCTCTGTTTTCTTTTTTTTCCCTGATGCTTATTACCTTTGAAATAGTTCCAAATGTTCAATTTTCTTTCTAACAACCTCAGAATTTCTATGATAATAAACTATTCTTTTACTCCTTTTTCCTGAAATGCATGTGTCCTACAAGTAACACAAAGATTGTTTTCTTTTACTAAGTGATATCTTTCCCAGCACAGGGTATCCTTTACCTTTCAGTGGTCAGAGGCAGCAGTATCAGAAAATGTGTTAGCAGCCTGAAACTTCAGGATCTACTGCTCAAGCCTGGAATTAGTGCAGCTTGGTAATTAGCAAGCTGCCTCTTATATATCCCTCAACTTGCTAAGTTCTGTCGCCAGAGAGACTCTGTCATTAATGTCCATCCTGTAGACGGAAAGTGTTTCATTGGCAGCTGGAGCAGGTGGGCCATCATGACATTAACACTTGGGTAAATATTAGCAGACCACACACTGAGTTTCTTTGTGTGGTTGATGGTGCATCAGGGGCCGTAGGAGTTTGGAGTTTCCATTTTTGTGAAATACAAGTGAATTTTTGAACAATTAAGTCTGACAGCAAGGAAGCGACATTTTAGAAGATAGTAATTAGGAATAACAATAAAGTGTGTTTTTATGGAAAGAGAATGCTAGAGAAATGAGAAATTATAACCGAGGACAAAGGATCCATTTTCTCAGTATCATGGACACTCAGAAATATTTCATCATGTCACAGTACGAACTGTTTTTAAAAAGTACATAAAAGGGTAAATTACTGGATCCAGACTTTAAAAAAAGACTAGAGGGAATTCTGAGGGAGTGTATGAGGCGGGGCTCACTCTGAGAGGAGTTGGAGGGAAGAATGGAGGCTGAGTTTGTTCAAAGCACATTTGTATGCAGGTATGAAAAGCTCAAGGGGAAAAGAAGCAATGTATATTTTAAAAAGAAAACAAAAGCCATTCATAATGAAGTGTGGAACACCAAATCTTTATGTCTACAGATTTATTTATCGGGAATTAGATAGCTCATTGTCCATAGACAGTTATGGTTTGTTCAATATTGATTGATTGGTTGGTTGATTGAGAGTGTGTGTGTGTGTGTGTGTGTGTGTGTGCAAGCAGGTTTAAGTGTGTTTTTGAGTGCCTACACATAGAGGCCGGAAGTCAAGCTCAGAAGTCACCCTTAGAAGGGCTGACTTGTCTCCCTTGAAACATACTCTATCATTGACTTTGAACTCAGCCATTAGAGTGGCTACAAGGGGGAGCCCCAAAGAACTCTTGTTTCAGCTTCTCTAGTTCTGGGGCTAGATATACACACACAATCATGTAGTACAATTTTACACACAGGTCCTAAAGGCAGGTCCTCGTGTGAGGCTGGCACTTCAGTGACTGAGTTGTCTCCTCAGCCCCTGATCCCTTATTCAAATGGAGTTTGTCTTACAACAGCTTTCCAAGAGAAAGAGAACAGGAAAATTCATGGTCTTCTGTTTCTGATCCTGTCCTTATTCCATTTAAAACATCCCATATTGTTTTGACAGGCAGCCCCAAGTTGCCCAGTCTGGTATTGAACTCCATATGTAGTTGAGGGTGACCTTGAACACCTAATCTTGTCTCATCTCCAAAGTGCTTTTATCGAAGATGCCACTCCTCGGTTTTAGTCTATGTTCACCCTCCTGAAAGTGGATCCTTATGTACAATAGGTAGCATACCATTTTTAATTTTACCTTCAAAGGCATTACATGTCAGTTATAATCACATAACTAACCATTCCAGCTTAACCATTGGTATGTCAAAAAAGAAAAGTGGTGTCCTTATAGACAGAAGTAGTTCCTGGTTACACTGTGTGATTTTTATAAAACTCTGTAGAAGCCCTTTTGATCTTTTCTTTATTCTTGGTTTGTGAAATTTTATGATGTGTTTTGAGCTACATTTTTCATCAGAGTTGGAAAACCCACATTTTAAATATATAAACTTGAGCTTTCCCATTCTGGGATTGAGCCCCAGGCTCCCTGCACACTAGACTCCCTCCATCACTGAGTGATAGCCCCGGCCCCAGGGTCTCTTTTGTTCCAGACACGGAACTGAATAAGGGTTGGGGAGGTGACTCAGAGGTGAGGTCGATTCAGTTCCTGCTCATGGAGCTTCAGGTCTAGCTGGTGTAGAGGCTTCAGCAGGCAGCAATGGAGGGACAGCAGATGAAATCATCCTAAAGGCATTTCAGCCTAGGACAGCATGCAGACAGGGATGCTCAAGTGCCCATTCGGGCTGGAGTCAGACAACCTGGGAAGCTAGTGCAGCCCAGTAGCCCGAAGGAAAAGCCCTCTGCTGACCAGAGCTTGGGGAACTGTGGGTAGTACTCTCCCCTATGAAATAAACAGAATTGTTAGGTTTATATAAATATGGAGGTAGGGAGATTGTCCTGTATACAGGGGCTAAATCTTAATGAGTCTTGCAAGGAGTAACTCTGTAGTTAACTTGTTCATTTTATTTCTCTTATTCAAATTGTTTTCTCCGGTATTCATTTGGATAAGGCGTTATCATATTTCATGAAATATTCCAAAAGGGTCTTTAGATTTAATTTACTTACCTCTTTGGCATTCAGTGTGTTAAAATTCTGAACAGATATGAACAGGTACTTTTTAATTAAAAAGGGAAGAAACACACCAAAAGAACTGCTATTAAGATATGTATCTGCTTAGAAGAAATACCAAACTAAAACAGCAATGCATTAGTAAGAATTTACTAGTGAGGTGGTCTTGCTGGCGGGTAGAGTAGAGTGTGGCAGGAAAGGCTTTGGGCAGTGGTTCAAGTGGAGGGACACCTTGTCTCAGGCCCCTGAGATTCCCTGATCCATTAGGGATCTACTGGGGGGGGGAGGGAGTGAAGCTGTGTATAGTTCTTTCAGTTTTACTGGTGTTCCTCTAAGTCAGTGCGTGTAATATTTTAGTCCATCAGTCATTTGGTGAGTGAAACTTACCCAAACTTTGAAAATACATGGATTCATTTATGGAGGTGCCAATTTTAAGTGTTCAGAAATAATTTTATCAGAATCAAAGGATATTACTCCTCTGTAAAGGAACACATTTGACCATTCACTCTTTTCTTCTCTTCTCTTTTCTCTCCTCTTCTCTCCTCCCTTACCTTTCCTCCCTCCCTCCCCCCCTCACTCCCTCCCTCCCTCTCTCCCTCCCTTCCCTTCTTTCTTTTTGTGTGACAGGGTCTTACTATGTAAACTCACCTATATAGCCTATGCTAGTGTCATGGATAGCTTTGATTGTCAACTTGGCACAATGTAGAATCAGTGGGGAGAAGAGAAATAATTTCCATTGGGTTGTCTTATGTGTGGGATTGTGTATGTCTGTGTGGATTTTTTTTTGTAGTTGTTAATTGATGTTTTAAGACCCTATCCATTGTGCATATCACTATTTCTAGGCAGGGAGGGGCTCCTGCACTGAATTAGTCGAAAGATACCTATCCACCCCAACCAGAGCAGCTGGCTTAATACTGATGATTGATGATTGACAGATTTCACTGTCGGATCACCTTCATACCCTAAAGTACATTTTTGATAGAAACTCCTCAGTGCTTCCTTACAGAAAAGCACAGGAAACTTGAGCCACCCCAAATAGATGTTTTGGAGTTGTTTTCCTTAAATTGCATCAGGTAGACAGACTCTGTCATCCAGAGGAAAGGAAAGCAGCATGTTGTTAAGTCTAATAGGATTTTTTTTTTTAAAAAAGGAATCTGAGTAAATATCATCTTTGCTATGATGTCTAACCCTTTCAACTATTGTGGAGACGAAATTGAAAGCAGATGAATTTCCACGAATTCATAATTATGTCCTGGTTAGTAATAAATGTGTGTCATTTAATTATATCAACCCATACGGATGAGTCATGATTAAGTCTTTTGCAAAAACTCAGGAGGAAATGAAGCCTTTGCCCATAGCCAGTTAGCACCATGATTATTTATTTGGCCTCTCTGCCTGAGACACAGCCAATGTGATGTCAATCCAGAGACTGGATGCACTCAGAAAGGTTGTGGTTTATATTTCAACACGTGTCTATGTATGTTACATAACAGCATCTTTCATGGTGACTACAGAGAATGCTCCAGTGACTAAGAGCACTTAATCTCCCAGAAGATCCCACCCAGTTCAGTACCCAGCACCCATACTGAGAGGCCCATAACTTCCTGTAACTCCAGCTCCAGCTGATTTGACATGTCTGGTATCTGTCGGCACTTGTACTAACACACACACACCCTCATGCAAATACACACATATACACATAATTAAAAACAAGGAAAATAAAGTCTTAAAAAATAATGTCCTTTACGGAGCTGCTTTACAATTTCTTGATGAACTGGAGATGACACTTTGACTATTCATTGTCCTGACATTAATTCTAAATAGTCTCATAGTTACCGAATGTTGATAGCTCCCTACAAACTCTTGCCAGAGACAACGGGCTTTAATGTTTCAGAGGAATTTTGTTGTTGTTGTTTTAATTTGCATTCATCCTCTTCACTGCCATCTGTGCTGAATCCATTTGCCTTATTTTGGGGTATTTGTTGATCTTTGTTGATGTATTTCTTCATATATAACAGTGTTATCCTCAACCGAGCCGCAGAAGGGAAACTCTTAACAAATGCCCCTAGCAAGAGGCTACAAGGTTATTTCCTTGTAGGTTTCCAGAAACCATTAACTCAAGAAACATGGGTTAGAATAGATGAAACTGGAGCATTGCCTAATGATGTTCAGATTATAATGCATGTTTGTTTACCTGTAATCATGTAAAAAGTCAAGTGTGGCTGATAAATGAGTGGAGGCACACCCTGAGTGTGGACAGCTTTATCCTGTTGACTGTATGAAACAGGACAGAATAAAACAGGAGGAAGTG